TATAGAAACGTATACACGCATTGGCCAGCGGAAATTAATTCAGATTTTTATGTTCATGGTGGTTTTGTTTTGGGTTTGATTTGGTGTTTTCTCATCCACCATCCTAAATCATTGCTTCTATTAAATTTAATGTAATTCTGTCTTAATATAGGCTTTATTTAGCATATTTTATCATGGGGAATTTCTGGCATTTTAAAACTTTTAGGCATTTGTTGAAGATTAATTGTGTAATGAGCACCAATTTGTCGGTCGGCGCTACAGCGAATAACGTTGGCGTAGATTTAGCGCGACTATGATTTTCCTGTGTTTGGGTGGTTAATTTTGGGGATGGGGGGCATGTGTTGTAAATTTGATAACTTTAGGCCTCTGCTTGCAATTTCATTCAAGTTAGGCCTTAAGGTTATGAGTTTTAATAATTCGGCCTTTGGAATTTTAAAATTAATTAATTTGGGCAATTTAAGTTTTGAATTTTGCAATTAAGCCCTTAAAGTTTCTGATTTTGTTCCAATTGACCCCAAAAGTTTTAATTTTTTTAAATGTTGCTCCCTAAAATTTAGAATTAATTAATTTTGATCCCTAAAGTTCTGAATTATTAACCCATACGCCACTAAAGTTTCAAGATAAATAAAATATGCAAATTTGGTGTTTTACTTTTCAAATTTTGGTACAGGAATTCATTTGGAAACATAATATTTGAAAGTAACTTAATTGAAGCAAATGTTGCAAAAGCAACCCCTCTTGTGGAAATTAATTAACTTAGAATACTAGAATGATTTTGTGTATGTGTTATTCATATGACTATTGATCGACCTAAAGGAAGGTCAATATTTGGACGAATTGCACATCCACCAGTGGTGATAAATGTGTGACACTTATAAGGTTTCCATGTGAATAATAAATCAATCCAAAGATGAGTTTATTATTTGACAGAAGTTATTGTCAATTTTTGATCACTGCAATAAGAGTACCATTTGCAATTACTATTACTGTCTAAAGACATGATATTAATGTTGTGTAGGTATCTTGAGATGTGGTTTACCATTATTTGAATTTATTGATTATTAAATATAAATATTAATTTGAGCATAATTTTTCTTTCTCTATCTCGTTCTCAATACAGTTAGTTCATCTGCTACTACTATATCTGCAAATGTTAATTGTATTCTCATGCTCAATGGGACAAACTTCAAGGATTGTAAAGAGAATGTATTGATTGTTCTTGACTGCATGGATCTAGATTTGCACTTCGGATTGAGCAACCCACTCCTCGGTGGAAGTCATGTAATAAGCACTTTTCGGTTGTTGTTAAAAACTGGTCATTATTTGGATTTGAAAGACACTTTTGTTGTGCCGTCTTTTAGACGGAATTTGGTTCTGTTTCTTTGTTGGACAAATTTGGTTATTCTTGTTCTTTTGGAAACAATCAGTTTAATCTTTCATTAAATTCCAATGTTATTGGTACTGGTTTATTATCTACGTATGATAACCTATATTTGCTCGATACTATTGCATCATGTAATGAAACCTTGCATGTGGAATCACGTGGTACTAAACGCAAATTAAATAATGAAAATTCAACAAAATTATGGCACAAACGCTTAGGTCACATCTTAAAAGCTACAGTTGAATGACTTTTGTCAGATGGTATTTTGGATTCCCTTAACTTCACTGATTTTGATGTATGTATTGAATGTATCAAGGGAAAATAGACCAAAACAAAGAGATTAGGTGCTAACAGAACTTCAGATATCTTAAAATTGATACACAGATATTTGTGGACCATTCCCCACAGTTTCTTGGAATGGTCAACAATATTATATATCATTCATAGACGATTACTCACGTTATGGGTACCTATATCTTATTCATGAAAAGTCTGAGTCACTGGACAATGTTCAAAGCTTTTAAACGGAGGTTGAGAATCAACTCAACTAAAGAATAAAGAACGTTAGGTCTGACTGGGGTGGTGAGTACTACGACAGATATGACGTTTTAGGTGAACAATGTCCAGGACTATTTGCTAAATTTCTGGAGGACTGTGGAATCGTCCCACAATACAACATGCTAGGATCATGTAGCATGAATGGTGGAGTTGAAAGACGAAACATGACTCT